AAATGAATTTCAGATCGGCTCGAACTACCACTCTGAACTATAGTCGAGTCTCGTTGTAGGTCAGTGAGACGTTGGTACTCATGAGCCATATCATTAAGCGTAAGCTTTGGATCTTGCTCCCACCGGCGTAGGAGCCTTGTTCTAATGTCACTGAACTTACTCGACTGGAGGCGGCAGATGAGAATGAGGGCTTTGAACTGGTCTTCCGACAAAGACTTCAACCGAAAGCGTTCGCATTCACGGTTGACGATGCCCACGTGCGTAAGAAAATCATCATCTTCGTTCATAATAAGCTTCAAACATCGATAACGAGTATTAAATAGTGACGAGTTGTCTCCAAAGTGTCGGCTTAAAGTCTGAACAGTCTCAGAAAACGAACAATCTCGTGGGTTCAAATTCATTTGTTTCCTTAACAGCTCCAACATACGTTCCTGCAACTGTTCATATCGTTTACCTTGACGTTCCAGTAAAGATTCTAACTGTTCAAGGTTAATTGACATTGTGAATTGTGAGCCCCGTCGCCACTGATATGTTTTGTGGATATGGTTTTTACCCCGTCGCCACTGATATGTTCGTCACTTAGGATGCTTGAGGCTATTACGAGTTTACCTTAGTCGATAAACGCGAACGAGACTTTTACCAGCTTCCAGGAAAGCTACCTTGAATCCAAACGGTAAAACAGAAGTCTTGGTAAGCGTAGAAAGTATATTCTACAAGCACCCAGCAATCCCAGTACAATCAAGCATACAACTCTCGTTTATTTATACAACATAACAACGTCCTTGAGACAGTTAAGAAAATAGCATACTAAAATACACAGTGGCCAATCACAGCCATTGATTTTCCTGGTGGGAGTTGAAATCTCAAGGTCATTTGATCAGCCCCTGCTGGCGAACGTGAAAACCGAAATACGGCATTATCAAGCGAATTTTGGGGATCTAACATCCCCAACACTCCTCCTCTGTTTAAAAGCGTGTCCTCCTGGAGTGGACTTGCATCCTGACTATTGTTCGCCGCTGTCTGAGGGGATACATTCGGGAACGAAGGTTTCTTCTCGTGGCGGGGCTCTCGTTAGTTTGAAGGTATCAAATGAATTTCAGATCGGCTACGAACTACCACTCTGATAACTATAGTCGAGTCTCGTGTAGGTCAGTGAGACGTTTGGTACTCATGAGCCATATCATTAAGCGTAAGCTTTGGGATCTTGCTCCAACCGGCTTAGTAGCCTGTTCTAATGTCACTGAACTTACTCGACTGGAGGCTGCAGATGAGAATGAGGGCTTGAACTGGTCTTCCGACAAAGACTTCAACCGAAAGCGTTCGCATTCACGGTTGACGATGCCCACGTGCGTAAGAAAATCATCATCTTTGTTCATAATTAGCTTCAAACATCAATAAGGAGTATCAAATAGTGACGAGTTGTCTCCAAAGTGTTGCTTAAAGTCTGAACAGTCTCAGAAAACGAACAATCTCGTGGGTTCCAATTCATTTGTTGCCTTAACAGCTCCAACATACGTTCCTGCCAACTGTTCATATCGTTATACCTTGACGTTCCAGTAAGATTCTAACTGTTCAAGTTAATTGACATTGTGAATTGTGAGCCCCCGTCGCCACGATATGTTTTGTGGATATGGTTTTTACCCCGTCGCCACTGATATGTTCGTCACTTAGGATGCTTGAGGCTATTACGAGTTTACCTTAGTCGATAAAACGCGAACGATGCTTTTACCCTGCTTCCAGGAAAGCTACTTGAATCCAAACGGTAAAACAGAAGTCTTGGTAAGCGTGGTGAGCGCTTAACCAATCTGATTGGTTAGTTATGACATAACTACAATTAGTTATAAAATAATTAACACCAAATTTTGATCCAAATTAAACCCTTCCAGTTCAGATGCAAGTACGAGACCAAGTACCAGTTCGGTGTCTATGAAGTCCTTCATTCTGATGAACAGTAGCCTGTTGAAGACTTTGCCTTTTATTGAAAGAAGAGTGATGCCTGTGTAGTTCTCACACTTGCTGAGATCTCCTTTCTTTGGTATTTTGATCAGGTATCCTTCTTTCCAGTCTATTGGTGCTTGTTCCTTATCCCAAATGTGAAGTATTTTTGCAGTTGCTTCCACGTCTGCGTTCATTGCCTCTGCTGGAATGTTGTCTGGTCCTGCAGCTTTGCTGCTCTTAATTTTTCTGATTGCCATACTGATCTCTTTAATTGTAGGTGCGCCAACATCGTTTGTGAGGTTCATAGATGCTGCTTCAATGATGGGTGAGTTCAACGGGGCTGGTTGATTCAAGAGTTCCTTAGGGTGCTCGACCCACTTGTTTCGCTGTTCTTCAGTGTGGCTGATTACTTTGCCTTCATTGCTTTTCACTGGTCGTCCCGGTTTACGATGGTTTTCAGCGAGCTTCTTTGTTGTTTCGTACAACTGTTTCAAGTTTCCGTCTCTTGCAGCCTTTTCCGCCATCGTTGCTAGATCCTCTACATATTTCCGTTTGTCGGCTCTGACACTCTTCTTCACTTTCCTATTTGCTTGTGTGTATTCAGCTTGTGTTCTAACTTTCTCTGATCTTGTTCGGCTGACATTGATTGCTGCCTTCTTGTTCCTCCTTTCTTCAATCTTTGCAAGAGTACCAACAGACATCCATTCCTTATGGGGTTACTTCTTATGGCCTAAGGACATCCTGACATATTGAAGTGATTTCCTTCTTGATCTAATTGTTCTCCATAGTTGTTTCCTCTCCATTGAGTAGATCTTGCAGGGCCTAGAACCTATCTCTGAGAGCTATTCTGAATTTTTTCAGTCCGTCAATATCCCGAATAAAGTCCGCATTTAACTATGTGATGTTGTCTGCCTAATTGTCGAGGAGAAATGATGCTTATTTCTTAAACCAGACATGTTAGTTACTGCAAAAATTATCATGCTTATCACTCACATATCTGATTGTTATACGTCAGTGAATTGTACAAAAGCTCAGTGGTTGTTCAAACAGTAAGCTGATCAAGTGTTTGACTGCGCTAATGGCTAACGTAGGTTTTCAAGTGGTATGTGCAAGTGGTGCGTAACACTGGCTTTGGGACTTAGGGTCTTACTGACCGGTTTCAGTAGGCAAATACGATTTCATCTTTTGAATGTATTCTCTCCACTTAACCTAAAATTCCCCTCAGCTTTTGGTTTTTAATGAACATTTTTCTACTTTTCAGCAAGTATTATGAATTCTAAGTTCTTTAAGTATATATGATCAGAGAACTTTCCCGAATAAGCATTTTACAATCGTTACGTAATTTTCGTCGTTCTCTCTCATCTCGAACACATTATGATACATTAGGGATTAACAAACGCGCTTCGAAAAGTGAAATTCATTCGGCTTTTATCAAACTATCGAAAAAAGTGATTTGTTAAATTATTTTTATAACTCTTATTGATATAGTATCATCCTGATAAAGATGGTGGTGATATTGAGACTTTTAAAAGGATCAACGAAGCTTACTCTGTTCTATCGCAGGAAAAAAGTAGACGGCTCTATGATTCCTCTTTAATATCGAGCACCAAACCATCATACACTAACTCGCCTTATGAGTACAATTTTGAAAATCAGGAACGTGATTTTAACATCCATTTGTAAGTTTATACCGGTTTCTTGCACCTTGTTTTTTACATTGGAGGATGTTTCACTGCTATGTTTTCGGCTACTTGGTGACTAGATTTAACCTTGTAAAGCCTGCTTAGGTTTAAAAAACCAAATATTATCACTAGACTCGCTAGTCGCTGAAAACCTTTCTTTTTATAAAAAGGCCTATAATCCTGATTCGAAATAATGTTTTTTCAGGATAAAATCTTGGTTATCGATGACTTGGCACTCACATCCACTCAGGATATGTTGTATTGAATTCTTTGTGTGTGCATTAGTTTATTGTTTGGAATAATATGTCTTAATCCAATTTGTTCTTTCTCATTATGTCATCTCGTTTTGTTATTAGTCCGTTTGATCTCGTAGTTCAGTCAGTCAGTCATCAACAACAGAACATCGTACGTACGTACATCAGTTCAAATTACCACACCACATAAACAGAGAGAAATTAAATTATCAGTTCGAAACCCATGGCAGTAGAGTTATTGGAAGTATAAGCAGTAATTAGGGTTCGACGATATTCATGAAGTAGAATCTAGTGAAACTTAAAAAGAAAACAATAAAGGTGATGAGGAATTCCGAAGGTTAGGATTTGAGAGAACACGAATGAATACACCTGCGCCATTGCAAAAAGCCTTGAGCCATGTTTTTCATGGTTGCCAACCATCGATTACTATCATATCGCGGGCCCCACCCAGATAGTCGACACCTCCCAACATGGCTCAGTCAAGCTGTCACTGATTTCATGGATTTGTACCATGTTTTGGATTGGCCGACCTAAGTTTTCTTCCAACCTACTCCTACACCATAAAGCATTATTCGTCGAGGCAGTCGGTGGTTGGTCATTCGTAACACGTGTCTCAATCACCTCAACTGATGAAGTTTAAATACTTCATCTATTGATTTGCCATCACTACATAGTACTCGTTTTCTAACAACAGCATTGCTTACTTGGTTTTCCCAGGATTTGATTTCGATCAATTTGGTCTTGCGTGCTGTTACGGGTATGAGGGCGGTTGTCACTTCCCGGCTGCCCACACCGTGGAGGGTTGTTTCTTGAAGGACCTGACAAGGAAGTTGGATTAGTGTTGGTCCCAGAGACCTGGTTGCGTGACCGCAGAGTCCAAGGGACAACTGCTTGAGGCCGGTCGCGCACGGCCTTTTTACGAAAGGTTATTTGAGTATTAGTTCCGCTCTTGAAAGCTCTTAGTGGGCACCCTTACCGCCGGAGACGAAATCCGTGAGGTAGGGTGAGGTGTGTCATTTTTAGGGTTGACCTTTTCTAACCCTTCCTTCCTTGTGAGAAGGCAACATCACTGCAAATGCTGGTTGTCCGAGGGAAACAACTTACTGCTGTCACACCTCTCTGCAGTCAGCAGTACAACTTCGCCCTCAGACATTGAGTAGCTGCTTTTGGTCACATAGTACTCCAATCGACCTGCCTGGCATATTAGAACCTTCAGGAACATATGTTCCAGCCAGTATAGCTCGGTTGGGTCATCACGACAGGCAAGCCCGACCACTACTTCAAGTTAGCAGCCTGGTGACTGACGAAATCTCAGCGCGGATACAGAAAACTCGATTAGATTTTACCCATTTACGCCGTTTATGTCTTACGCGAGATATCCGTTCTTTAACTAAAGGACGAGTGTACTGCGCAATAGTTGGCTCCGTTCTCCTATATGGATGCGAAACATGGCAGTTAAGAGTAGATGTTCGTAGGTTACTAGTATTCGATCATATATATCTTAGAAGCATTGGTCGTATATCGTGGGACAACCGAGTGAGCAATGCTAGGTAAGGATGGCAAATCAATAGATGAAGTGGTGAAACTTCAGTTCAGGTGGTTGGGACATGTGTTACGTAAGCCTAATCACCGACTGCCTCGACGAGCTATGTTTTTTACTGTAAGAGTAGGTTGGAAGAAAGGTAGGTGTGGCCAGAACAAAACATGGCATAAATCCATGAAGTCACTGACAAGTGGACTGAGTCATGTTGGTAGATGTAGGTTTCTGGTTGAGACTGAAGTCTGAATAGTTGTCTACTGTTGTCTATCGCCGCTGCCTTTTCCATCTCTTGCTTTCGCTACCCACCATTGTTCGCAGTCGTTGCGTAGGCTTTTTATCAGTCTGCACTTAAGCTGTCTTCGTTCTACATCGTGTTCAGAGCCAGGTGAGATGAGTTTACGAGTGTCTATCAGTTCGGTAGATGATACTGAGATCCACGTCTTCTCCCTTACCTTGCTAGCAGACATCACTGCTGTTTTCACAGCTTTTTTGACATCATTACAAGCTGCCTCCGGATGGGAATCGCTTACATGGTCACCTAACTGTTTTTCCAGTTTTTCCTGAGATATATTCATAGCTCTGCTATCGTCATGTAGAACCCTAAAAGGTTTTTACGCGTTGTCTTTCCTACGTCCGGTAAGTCGCGAACAAATACGTGCTCGCACTAGGGCATGATCTGAATCTAGACATGTGCTCTAGAACGAGCGACAGTCCTCTATCCAACCCCTCCATTGGTGGCTGATGGCGATGTGATCTAGTTGTGTTCGGTGTTGTGACGACTTTGGGGGTTGCCAGGTCAAATGATGTTTTACCTTATGCTTAAAGTTAGTGTTTGCTAGGAATAGGCGGTTATCTGAGAATAGCTGCAGTAGACGATCGCCATTATCAGTTCCTTAGGCTGTAGAACTCAGCTTTCACTTCGTCTGAAGTGCAGTCAGTGTGGAGCGTAGGCGGAGATAACGAAGAGGCAGCGTTGAGTTCCCCTATCTTAGCAAGTCTTTACTGTGTCTCTTGGTCGGATCCAGTCTAGGAGAGCTAGTTCTGCCCTAGGACTCAATGCCATACCTACAGGAATAACGTTTCGTGAACTCGAATCGTTTGAATCAGCGGTACTGGGTGATAAAATAATGTGAGAACAGTTAGTCCAGAAGATAAGGGGAACGTTGCGTGTGCGAAGGATTTGTTTATGACCGATTTGATCTTCGTCTTCGTGGAAAACTTGATTGCTGTGTTTCGTTCAGAGGTACAACATTCAATGGAACATGCTACATCAACAAGTCTCCTCACAACCTTCTGGGGTTAGATTGGTTCGAAAAACGTGGCCTCGCTGATCTTCCCATCAATACTGTCTGCAATCAATTAAAAACTCCTGCCACTACACAACAGCATGCTGCAGATTTTCAAAAACGATACACTGAACCGCTTCAGCCTGGTATCGGACTGCAGCCAGTTGCCACGCCTGAAGAAAATGTGATCTCAGATAACTTGTGCGATGACACCAAGCATATCAAGTCCCAAGATGAAGCAGACAGGGATGATGGGGAAAGACATGATACAATAAACAGACAAAGATATTCACGTGACTCCATTCTTTCTTGTAAATTTTCAGGCGTCGAAGTGAAGCTAGTAAATGATAAGGATATCATGAAAAGCCTTTCAAACACCAAAAGACCTCGTGATCAACTGAGGCCAGCGGAGATAAAGAGAAAGGTAAAATTACGAAGCGCCTCCCACTCTGTTTGCTGTTGGATACTTATCAAGTTCCGCCAATACTTCCAACAGACACTATCGAGTCATCTACTCAAACAGAACATCCTACAGCTCCAGGGATTTTATCTCCGAGGTGGTCGAAAAGCAAGCGAAGAAAATCAAGTAATTTCAAGAAAACCCTTGGCTGTCGCTGTTATTTTTAACACATGTCTTAATCACCTCAACTGATCACCTACTGATTTGCCATAACTAAATAGTACTCGTTTTCTAACCACAACAGTCCAGGAATAACGTTTCGTGAACTCGAATCGTTTGAATCAGCGGTACTGGGTGATAAAATAATGTGAGAACAGTTAGTCCAGAAGATAAGGGGGACGTTAGGTGTCCGAAGGATTTGTTTATGACCGATTTGATCTCGCGCGCTGTTACGGGTATGAGGGCGGATGTCACTTCCCGACTGCACACATTGTGAAAAGTCTCATTTTGTCAGAAGTATTATCGTCCCGTGACTTCCAAAGGACCTCGGCCTTCATCATGAGACTTCATAATTTCTAAATGAAGACCTAACTCCAAGAGCAGAGTTTGAGTGGTTTGAATTGTTTTTTGTTGTTAGTATATTTTTAGCTAATTAGTTTTGCATGATGGGGTCGTAAGCCCTAATCCCAACCCTACCCCGTGCTTGGGACCGGCAGTAGGCACAGTGAGTCTATAGGCGGAAGTGATCTCGTAGTTAGATCAAGATAACTAACAAATGGAACTATTCGAGATCGAATTTATAAACATCAATGATTGATCTCGTATTATCATCCTGTAATTCTGAGTTTATGATCCACTTTCCAAACAACATATTAACCGATCGATAATGCAATTCGTTTCTGGCATTGAACGAAAGATAAATGGGTTGAAAACAGAGGTATTCATTTATATGGATTATAATAATGTCATCGTTATGATTACTCGTCAGAAGGAAGATCTGATTTAAGTCAAATCTAAATAATGAACCTAAAGTGTTAAAATAATTCTTATCGTTCTCGATTGAATGCTGTCAAATATCCAAGTTGACCCGGTGACTTCTTAGGTAAGCTGTTGGCAGCAGTTAATTTTCCTTGAAACTGTCCTATAACATTCAGTGCAAGCAGCAAGTAATGGTAAAGTTCATTCTATTCAGAATTCCCGATGTAACTCATTAGCTGGATAATTTATACAAATGATACCTCTAGATTAAGGTATGTATTTAAGTCTATTATCACTTTTTGACAGTGAATATCTCAAGTTACGCATATTTAACGGTTAGATACATTATATCACACACAAATTAATACCGAAGTAACATCCTAAAATTTATTTTATATCCTTTCTTATTTGATGTTTAATTTATAGACGGTGTATGCGTTTTGGACAAAGTAAACGCAAAACAAAAATAAACTTGAGTATAGTACGTTCAATTTTTATCACAACAACACTATGGGCAATCCTCGCCTACTTTATTTCTCTGTTTACGTTTAATAAAAAGTAAGTGACTGTCTTTTCAATCATGATGATCTTTATATATATATATATATATATATATATATATATATATATGTCAACCGTATGATAAAACATAGCCCTTAGAAATTAACACTGTATTTCTTTAAAGAAACGTTTAATATATTCATACAGTCTACCTACGAACTTGCCACACGAGCTACCTCATTCTTTCGTATAAGGAGTGCACTTTTAATTATAGTTCTTTGATAAATCGATGTCATGAATCTAGTTAAACACACAAAGAACTAGAAATAAATTTTGTACCAATATATCTGGTAATTCTTAGTAGTACGATTAGATTTTCTTTTCTGTTGCATCAGTTGTTGAGACACTCATTATCATTCTGTTCGAAGGACAGTCTGTAAACTAATAATAGGTTGAAGAATAGGAAGAATGATAATGAATCAATAAATCTACACCAATCGGAAATTTTGAGCTATATCATTTAATCTATGTAGCCGTAAACTATATTTGCCTTATAAGCACATGTCCAAAAGTCTGAATCTACACGGCTTAGACCAATAATTAGTAATCCTATAAATTGATGTACCCTTGTCTGACCGTATACCTTACCTACATCTGCACCGTCCAGCATAGCTTTTCAGGTTAATCCGTTTCTGTAATTATGAACTTAAATAAATTGAAATATAGTACATACATGACACGTGTACATAATTGTTGCGTTCACTTTCTTTTTAATAATTATCACCTAACAACCTACTCGACCGTGGCTGCTACCTTGACGTTGTGGTCGGGTTTGCCTACCGTGATAACCCTACCGATTTATATTGGCTGTAACATATATTCCTGTAGGTTCTACAATGCCAGGGAGGTCGATTGGAGAACGAGGAGACTAAAAACTGCTACTCAAGGTATGGGGGCGAAGTCGTACTGCTGACTAGAGAGGGTTGTGACAGCAGTAAGATGTTTCTCTTCGACAACCAGCATTTACTGCAGAGATGCTGTTTTCTCACAAGGAAGGAGGGCTTAGAAAAGATCGACCATAAAATGTCACACCTTATCTTACCTCACGGATTTCCGTCTCCGGTGGTAAGAGCTGTTAAACAAGAGCGGAGCTAATAGTCTAAGAACCTCTCATAAAAAGGCCGTGCGTGACCGGCCTCAAGTAGTTTTCCCTTGAACTCTGCGGTCACGCTCGCAGGTCTCTAAGACCAACACTAATCTACTTACCTTTTCAGGTTCCATAAAACACAGCCCTCCACGATGTAGGCAGTCGGGAAGTGACATCCGCCCTCATACCCGTAACAGCGCGCGAGATCAAATCGGTCATAAACAAATCCTTCGGACACCTAACGTCCCCCTTATCTTCTGGACTAACTGTTCTCACATTATTTTATCACCCAGTACCGCTGATTCAAACGATTCGAGTTCACGAAACGTTATTCCTGGACTGTTGTGGTTAGAAAACGAGTACTATTTAGTTATGGCAAATCAGTAGGTGATCAGTTGAGGTGATTAAGACATGTGTTAAAAATAACAGCGACAGCCAAGGGTCTTCTTGAAATTACTTGATTTTCTTCGCTTGCTTTTCGACCACCTCGGAGATAAAATCCCTGGAGCTGTAGGATGTTCTGTTTGAGTAGATGACTCGATAGTGTCTGTTGGAAGTATTGGCGGAACTTGATAAGTATCCAACAGCAAACAGAGTGGGAGGCGCTTCGTAATTTTACCTTTCTCTTTATCTCCGCTGGCCTCAGTTGATCACGAGGTCTTTTGGTGTTTGAAAGGCTTTTCATGATATCCTTATCATTTACTAGCTTCACTTCGACGCCTGAAAATTTACAAGAAAGAATGGAGTCACGTGAATATCTTTGTCTGTTTATTGTATCATGTCTTTCCCCATCATCCCTGTCTGCTTCATCTTGGGACTTGATATGCTTGGTGTCATCGCACAAGTTATCTGAGATCACATTTTCTTCAGGCGTGGCAACTGGCTGCAGTCCGATACCAGGCTGAAGCGGTTCAGTGTATCGTTTTTGAAAATCTGCAGCATGCTGTTGTGTAGTGGCAGGAGTTTTTAATTGATTGCAGACAGTATTGATGGGAAGATCAGCGAGGCCACGTTTTTCGAACCAATCTAACCCCAGAAGGTTGTGAGGAGACTTGTTGATGTAGCATGTTCCATTGAATGTTGTACCTCTGAACGAAACACAGCAATCAAGTTTTCCACGAAGACGAAGATGACATCCGCAGGCACTGACAACTGTCTGCGATGATGGTTTGATGCGTGGTTGACTCAAGGTTCGCCAAGTCTCTTCTGACAACATATTGATATCTGATGCATTATCCAACCGCAACTGAACTGGCTGACCATTGATTGAGAGGGTCAGAAATTCGCGTCGAGTGGAAGCATCGGTGTGAAAGTCGGCTGCTAAACTCCTAGATGCAGTAACCGGCTGTTTGGGATTAACGACGCTGCCTCTGTGAATTTTTCCTGGCCAGTGAGTTTCGTCGATTGGCAAAAACCGCTTTTATGACCAATTTTCTGACAGCGATTGCGCACATGCTGCTTGAATGGACAAAATTTCACATAGTACCAGGCTCCACAGTACCAACATGGTGAGGAGGGCTTCTTATGCGCCTATTTGGAGTGATTAGAAACAGAACTGGCATTCGAACGACCAAAGGTTTTCGATCTGGAAGATTTGTTCTGCTGCTGAACAACGTGAACTTCGGAACCGCCCTGGCTCCCAAATTGAACCAAAGTGGTGTCACGCTGTAAGTTTGTGATGCGTTGGTACTCATCAGCGATAGCATCGAGTGTCAGTGTTAGATCTTGTTCGAGGCGGTTAAGCGATCGAGTTCTGATGTCGGAGAATTTGGGTGATTGTAGACTGCATATGAATATGTGGGATTTGAATTGGTCATCAGTAAGGGATCTGAGTTTGAACCGTTCACATTCGCGGTTGACAATACCAACATGGGTCAAGGAGTCATCGGACTCATTCATGACTGGTTTTAAACAGCGATAACGTGTATTGAAAAGGGAATGCTGATCCCCGAAAAGTTTGCTGAGGGACTGAACAGTAGCATCGAATGATCGGTCACGTGGGTTCTGCGGTAGGATGAAGTTGCGATACTTGTCCAGTTCTGACGGACCAGGTTTACGAAGGAGAAGACGCACCTTCCAGGAATCATCTTTGTCAGCCAAATCAACTTTGAACAGATCTTCATAACGCCTGAACCAAGTATCAAATGTAATATTGGCGTCAGGATCATAAAAGACTCAGAAATACTACTGGCCATACCATCAACTGACTGAGGAATTGTCGGTGTAGATGAGACGTGAGAAGAGATGTGCGTCTGAGTAAGCATCTCCATCAGCTTCAGCTGTTGTGCAAACAATTTTTCTAATTTAGCTGGATGCATAATTAGTCACCAACTCGTCGCCAAATTTGTTATAACGCTGCTACATATAGCTATTCAGTCCTAGCGGCGTCCAAATCAAATATCCAATACGACCCAAAATGCTATTTCCAAATCTCCTATATATCAGGATGCAACACAGTGGGACGGAATTTTTTATTGGGTCGAGAACAGACGAGAGGTAGGCAGGAAGAACGGAATCTGAATCCGAATCATGAAGGCTTACAGATCGTGCGTACTTATACATTAAGATCGAATAGGAAAGAGCATCAAAGTCTGTGACATTGGCAGTTCAGGACGACCAATAGGAAAGAACACTTGAAATGACATTGACAGTCCGGATGACCAATAAGAGACAACATTGAAGTATTTGACTTTGACAGTTAAAACGACCATAATTTTGACCAATAGAAATCGTCCAATGGGATTACACTTCTAAAAATAGTACTTTTAGGATATTTGTTGAATATCCTAACAGTAATGCATTGTGGTGTACCAGTAGGTTGGAAGACAGCTCTCGTCTGACAATCCATGAAGCCACTGACAGCCGGGCTGAGTTATATCAGTATATGTAGGCTACCTGGTTGTGGTCGGTGATACGAAAGTCACCGATGGTTAGCGACCTTGAATAATAGGGCTCAAAATCGTTTGCAATGGAGCAATTGCATCTACTTTTTGTGTTCTCTGAAATTCTAATCTTCAGAATTAGTCATCATCTCTATCTTTTTCTTTCTAAATGTATCTCACCGAAATATACTTCTTGAATTATATCTTCGATCCCTAATATTCTCCATTACCAGTAATTTTTCCACTATCTCCACCTATATAGGATTTGAACTGCCAGTGGGGTTTATGCGCTAATGTGGTATAGTGATTTCAACTGACGTACGTTCGTAAGAAGTTCTCCGTTTTTATGGACGAATTAACTAACGACCCGATAAACAACTTCATCTAACGGTGTTGTGTCCTGATATATTGGAGGTTTGGGAACAGTAATTGGGGTTCTACTGGAATATCTGAATTCGGTCAGTCGGTAGGATTTCGCATAGCTACACAGCACATTATAACAATATTATATTTGATTATATTATGTCTCTCCAATTTCATCTCAAAGTTATAAAATTGTTTATGGAAGAAATCATTGTTATTTAATTTCTGCAGAATTTTCTAATAATCTCTCAACCTCAATCTTACAATAGGTATATTATTGTGTGCGTTTTTAGTATATTGTTTTATCAGTTTGATTAATTTCTGTTACTGACAAAATGATGGAGAATAAATGTATTGGAAATTTTTCCCCTAAGTCGCCACCATGTTTATCTTGTTATGTTTAATAATATTTTTTTACTGACAGTCATAACGTAATTAATAATAACCATTGACTTGTTGAAACGATTTACTCGTTTGTTTCTCTCAATTTTTGAATAATAGCAGACAATATGCAAACTTTTATACTCGGGCATACCAGGAACGATTCGTGCAACATAATCAGTGAGTTTATCTTTAAAAGTTATTTTTGTTAATATGTTTTATTCTCCATACCATAAAACTGCTGATTTCTTTCTCGTTAAACTATAAAACAAACCTTAAGGAAGTTATTGATAAGCTCGACTTTTTTTGCCGATACTTTGATGATACTTTCATCATCGATGATCAGAGCAGTGTCAAAGAATAAATCCTACAGCAATTTAACAATATACACTCGGTAATTAAATGCATGTGTAGGGAAGAACTGGATAAAAATTATATTCACTTGAAATTTTCTTAATCAGAAAAGATAATTGTTCTATTACTAGAAATGTGTGTTGAAAAAGTTCTTCGTCAAGACAATACACACAATATGAACTGTGTATCCATTCATTACAAGATAAACCTAGTTACCTGTCTCACAAGTAGAGTTAGGGAATTATGTTCAGACGAATTTGTAAACAGAGAGCTGGAGATCATTCATACTATGTTGATTGGAACGAGTTATCTACCAGAAGAAATGCTTGAATACAATGAACAGGGAAATAGAAATATGGACGGTTAGTAAGTTACCTCTCTTCTTGAGGCCACAGTTTGACGGAGACATAACTAGTGACGTGTTCCGTAATAGATTGGTTAAAGCAAGAAAGAGGACGTTTAACGCAGTTAAAACCTGTCTGTTGCTTTCTAACCGACCTATGATGATTCTTCAACTAAAGGCTAACTTACCTTGTTTCCACACATCGATGTGTATCTACGAATCCGGCTGCTCCTGTGGAAAAGGCTATATTCGGCGTACAACTAGACAACTAAGTCAACGAGTTGGCTCATACCTCACTTCGTGTTTAAGAGAGGGCGTTGTGGTGTGTGCTACTTATACGAACGATATAAGTAGTATAAGAAGGGACATGAAAGAAGTCTCACGGTCAGAAGAGGAAAACGGAAAGCAAATGGAGCAAAAGCAAGAAGTAAATGGAGTACCAACAGGAAGCAAAGGAAGAAACAGCAGGAATGGAAGAAGGATGGGGCGTTGGAAGTTACGACTCAAAGATGGTGTGCAAATAGAGTGTTCAATTTAATGTTTTCGTTTTTAATTGACTAAGAGTGTAAATTTGCATGATACAATCTTCCGCGCCTGCCTCAGTCTTCTCAGCGTAATCAAAAAAATACGCGGCTCATTCCTCTGATACGCTTGATAGATAGTGATCATAAAATTGGTAGAAATAAACCATATAAAGTTACTTATCGTATATCTACTAGTTTTGCTTATTGGGTTCAAACCCGTCTCCTATATACAGCAGAAGCTTTTGATATTCAAGCTGGCGATCCAAGTTTTTGTGTTCAGAAGAAGTTTGTGACATCTCTATCTCTTCCTTGGCCAGATTGGCATTAACAAGCGATTTTATTTATTTACTTATTTTCATTATTTTCCATACTCCTTGTCTGTTTGCTTTTTTTTTGACTGCCCACTTTGCTTTGTTCACATATACGCTTCATTTACTACTTGTCTGAACTCTTCATATTACATAAATCTATGACTTCAATGAATGCTATTCCAGCATCTAGTTTTCCAAGCCGTTTGACCTGCTACCTATGATGTAATATAGATTTAAGCCTTCATTATTCTTATCATAACCAGTACACCTGTCACCACATTATCAATTCGTACTCTTTATTCCACTATTATGTTACTTACACCTGTTACTGATAACGGAGTTTAGACCTCCGACTAGCATTCTCGAACCTTTTCTGTGCTGGGCCTTCCTTTTTACTCCTATCCAATTACTGTTCATTCTTTTCTTATCTGCTTCAAATTCTCGGCGTATTGTATTATTTGGTGTTCCTCTCCTTTAGAATTCCAAGTGAAGTCTTGTTTTTTGACTCAGTTAGGTGCTTTCCTCAATATGCGTCCTATCCACTTCCAGCTCTTTTTCCTACTACATTCCTCAACTGGAATCTGGTTTGTTCTCTCCGTCAGTTGGTTGTTGCTGATAGTATTTTGCGTAGACAACTTTTAATAAACACCTCCATTTTGTGGATGTTGGATTTCGTGATTTTACAACTTTCTGCCTCTTATAGGCACCCCTACACCACAAAAAACAGCTCGTCGAGGAAGTCGGTAGTTAAGCATACGTAACACATTTCGCGATATGGAAATAGCTTGGACTAAAGATAGCTAGGAGCGGCCAGACCAAAACATGGCAGAAATCCATGAAGTCACTGGCATCTAGACTGAACCACGTTAGTAGGGTAGACTATGTGGTTTGGGTGAGCAAGACAGTAGCAACCAATGGTTAGAGACTTTTGATGGCATGGCTCAAAATCCTTTGCAAAGGCTTAGGTGCATCCGTTTTTAGTTCCCTAAAATTATTTTATGAATTCCTTATGATCTTCATCTTTTCTTTCTCAAATTTATTTCACTGGGTTACACTTCATGAATAACATTTTGAACCATTATCTTTCCGATCACTGTTAATACTTTTACTATTTCTACTGGTTGGTTTTTCTGATTAGCGTTTTTTTGGCAAGTTACTTTTTGACGGAATGGGGTCGCCAACCCCATGTCCAACCCTCCTCCTTTACCCGGGCTTGGGACCGGCAGTAGACCCATAGATTCTACTGGCGGAGTCACTATTTCTACTACTGAGATTTAAATTGACAATTCCACCTCTGTGCTAATGTGATATGGCAAATTGAACTGATGTAGGCATATACGAAGCTCTATGTTGTTACTGACTGCAACAACACTCTCTGTTACCCATTTTAACTTTGAATGATTTTGTGAGTTTTCATCTGTGCACGATTTTTCAGTGTAGTCCCTCTTACGAATTCCTTATGATGTTGACTATCTTCCCGTTGCACATCATAGTGTTGAAAAAGCCTCCATAGTGTCACGCAATCGAATGCTTTCTCATAGTCAATGAAGTTGACATACTATGGTGAATTCCATTCAGTCGATCATTCGATAACGATACATAGTGTCGCGTGTGATTTGGTCAGTACACGATCGATCTTTATGGAATTTAGCCGGCTGATCTCAAAGTTAAGCATCTAATGAATCTTTCATTCGGTTTACTACCTTCTTGGTACTGGGGGTAGAGTTATGCCCCTGACGCTTTCGCACTTGCTGAAATTTCCTTTGTTCGGTACCTTGTCTTCCTCTCAAACCTTGCTAATGAGAGTATAGAACATCTTTGCAGTTACCTGTATGTCTGCTTCCAGTGCTTCAGCTGGTGTGTTGTCTGATCCTGCTGCTTGGTCAATCTTGATTTGTCTGATGACCATGCTAATTTCTTTGATTATCGGTGGAATAACATCAATATAAAGGTTTTAATGTACTGTTTCGATATTGGTCGATTCACGAGTTCCTCATGGTTCTCTACCCACCTTTTTCGCTGTTCTTCAGTGTCGGTGATTACTTTGCCGTTATTGCTCTTCACTGGTCTTTCTGGTCATCTGTGTGTTCCGGCAGTAGTCACCTTTGCTGTTTCATGGAATTACCTCATATTTTCTTCTCTTGAAGCCTTTCCTGCTGTTGTTGCTTGATCTCCCACATATTTACGTTGTCACGTTCGACCCAGAACCTCATGACATGTAGAAGTTATTGCCTCTATGATCCATATCAAGTTGTTCTCCATTGTAGTTTCCTCTTCATCGAGGAGATCGGGAAAGGTCTGGAACTTTTTGCTTAGGGCTGTCCTGAATTCGTTGAGTTTTCTGTTATCCCGAAGAAAGGGTGTATTAAACTTTTGTTTTGCTGTTCACCTAATTGTCCAGTTTCTCTTGAGTCTCAGTTTCATCTCGGCAACCGCCAAGTGATAATCTGAAGTTGTTCGCTCCTCTCTTTTTTATTACGGTCTTCTTATTGATGCAAATGTGTTCGTTTTGGTTCTGTGTAGTATGGTTCGCTGAAAGCCATGTATTTGTGTGAAAACATAGTGCCACCAAAGACCAGTTTGTTGAAGACACATACGTTTGAGAACCTCTCACCCGGTTGACTGCAGCCTCTCATAGAATTAATTTTTAACGTCCTCATTGTTATCGTTGGTTGGCGCATAATACTATACGGCATTCATTATAATCCCCTCTTTGTCTTGAAGGGTGCGTTGATGATCCTTGTTCCATGAAATTCCTATTCTATCAATGCATTTTATGCTTGTTTGGACAGCATCAATGCAACTCCTTGTGTGTGTGAGGCATTTTCTTCTTCACGGGTGGAGTGCAACAGCATCCTTCGTGAAGCTAGCCTCTTTTGATCAACCTGCATCCGTTGTGTTCCGCTGACAAATACCACCAGGTTTTATATTTTCATTTCTGAAGCAGATGGAATGGTTCTTCCGCTCTCTCGTAATGTTGGAACGTTTCATGTACCTGTTTGAATAGTTGCTTTGGTTGTCAGAAGGGGCATCGTTCTCATCACTTCCGAATGAACTCGGTTCTGATCATGAGATGTCATAACTCTTCTAAATGAAGATCTAACTCCCAGGGCGGAATTCAAATGGTTTGAATTGTTTTTTCTGGTTAACGGTTTTTAGCGAGTTGGGTTTCTGCGCGACGGGGTCGCTAACTACGTGCCTAACCCTCCTCCTTTATCCAGGCGTGGTACCGGATTAATATATTTGGCTTTTCATATAACAGAAATAATATATCGTATGTGGTTTTGGTAAAGACAATAGTTCCACTATTAGCGTTTTAAAACTGTTTGTAGGTGTTATCCTTTTGCTAGATGTTCAATTTTCGGTTCAAATTTAATAGTGAGTTATAATGGCAAACTGATGTCGTAATGATGGGTTCACTATTGGGTCTTCTTCTAGAGGATCGCTTCATTGGTAATCTTGGAGTATGCAATACTTAAATCAACGATTGGAATCTTTCGTTTATACAAAAATATATGAATGGCACGTTTATCGTCCGTTACAAAAATAATAACCTTAGCGTCTTCCTGAATGAATCCAATAATCAGTATCGTTCAGTTAAATTTGTAGTTTAAGCAGAAATGAATTCATAATTTCATTTCTTTAATATCCCATTAAGAAACAGGGCAGGTAATTCATTACGAATATATACGGAAAACCAATACTGATTCTTCTGTACTTGATTTTCAGAAGCTAGGTTCCACTATACAGTAAAAGAATTTTAATTCACTCTATCCGTGAGGGTTATGCGAAGAAGCTCAGAAGATGTGATCGACAATAAACAAACTAATCAAGAATCTCTATTCGTTCAGCTTTACTGAGAGAAACTTGAAACCAAAATTACTACCTAAAAGATCTTTTCTAGTTAAAACGAAATATTGCTACAGAAATTTCGAAAGATCGACTTACAAAATCTTCAAGGAAAGTATTTTATGGCTTCAAGGTTTGTACTACGGGAACATACAATGAAGTCAAGACCAAATGGTATATAAATTCAAAAGACACTATATTTAGAAAATATGTACACATAATTTTCAAACATCTATTTTCAATCCAAGCAGGATATCGACTCTATTCTCTCAGATTTTTCTGGCTTTCAACATACTCTGATCACGCCATGCATTCAGATTACTTAACCCTCTTCACTCAGGTAGCAGCTTCAAGACGGTGTGCAGCTGCATACTATTTATGTGCCACTTTGTATGTGGCAGCCACCATCCGACATTTTCCAGTTGACTTTCCATCTATATATCTGTCAATGATAAACTTTCTATTTCAGTCAAATCGATGTGTATTTATAAGTTAACTTGCTTTTGCTTATTAGGTTGTATAGTTGTAATTTACATAGATTATCCCTGTTAATGAAAAACACTAGTAATTAAAATTCTGAGATTTTTAAGTATGAAGTCTTATTTGGTGATTCATATGATATCCAAGAGATTTTTAACTGAATCGATATCCTAAATAACATGTGTAATGAAATTTAATGGCCTCTATAACTTATTTGGTAGAAGACGTATTCAAACATCAAAACTTACATCAATCGCTACTTACTTCAGGAAACTGGTTTATTGTTCCAACCTTTTAAGGTGAAAACCACTTTTAAGTTTTTCATACTCTTTGAAGAAATCACTCAGATTAACTATTTTTTTTTGTAAATAGATGTTATAAGGATGGCTTAACAAGCAGAAAAGAAAACTTATATGAAGAGGATTTCGAAAACTAAACAATCCCCGCTAGTTGTAACTATGCAGTATACACAATCTCTTGATTTTATGCTTCATCGTTTAATCTATAAGATATATTAAATAGATTACTTTGTTTTCTGATTATCCTCATTTTCACTGTTATGATTCCATGTGTATTTTACATTTCTGAATTCTTCTCCATACTTGACATTATCACCTAAATTTGCACTAGTTTATTTACGACCTAAAATTTGATTTAATGAATTGTAAAATATTGTAATTTTTTAGCACATTATCTTCGTCCAATAATCTTTGTTTGTTTGTACCATAAATATTATTACACCTTTTCTATTGAATTTTCTCAAATAATGGAAACCGAAAATCTTTTCATTTGGAAACTGTACTACTTTCGAATTTTATGTATATATATATCAAAAGAGAGCTCTTATGTTCAGAACTTCAAGTCAGTTTTCGCAAACTTAAAACAACGTCAATTATCCCAACAACTTGAGCGTCTCTTATATGCCGTCTAACTTCAGTGTTTTTTTTTTAAATAGAAGTATTCAGACCTGTATTTCATATTTCCGTCAACTTGTTTATTGTGATCTTTCCTCTCTATCCTATCCTTATAAGTTTCGTTTTTAGCTGATTTTGTAATTCGTTAAACGCTTTATATTCAAAACTAATCCACAATTTTCAAGTGTAAATTGAAAATGTGCTTACTATGTTTATTTCATGGGAAAGACAAGTGTCTTTTATGCTTTCAGTTAATTACAGTACGCTTTCGATACCAGATTTTAGCTCTTGCTTGTACGTAGATTTTAAAGAAACATTTATTAATTACAGAGCTAGATTGAGTCTCTGTGATAAGATGGTATGGCAACTTGAACTAATGTACGTACGTACGAAGTTCTATGTTGTAACATACTGACTCACAGAGCTAGACAAACTTGTTTCGTGTTCTACAGTGCTTGGGATTATTAGCTGTTAGACTAAAATAGGTTTAATGATTTTTTTTTTTGGTTGTTGGTATTGCTCATCGTGAAGCTAACTGAAGTGATAAAGCTGACCACCTTAATTTGACGATTAAACCAAACTATCTGATGGTTTCTTATCCATACATACTTCAGGTCAAAGTTGCTCTGTTCGTTAAATATTATCTAAAATTAAGACATTATGGTGAGCGCTACTTATGCTGTTGGATATATGCAATATACTGTAGGCATCGGATATAGAGTTCTTGCTGATAGTGATAGAAAACGAGGAGGGGAGGAAGAAAACAAATTGAGAAGGACTCCGACTTTCGGTTTCCTCTTCTTTCTATCTCTGTAGTTGATCGTCACTTGGTATTCTTGGACTCAGTTTGACCGTCCATATAGTTTTTTTTAAAATTTAATGACTGAGTGTGCAAACGAAATGCAGAACGGTAGAGACTTCCATTCATCTCTTTGATGTACCTTTGTTTGAAAGTTTGTCCATCCATCTCTATCAGTCTGTTATATTAAATTACGAATATTTGAAACGTCGATTGATTTGTACGCAATGAAGTTTGAATTGCGTGAAACTATAACTCTGAAAAATACTTTTTTATTCGAAATGATAGGTGCACAAATCACTTCGTGAAGTATTTATGTATTTCACCGCCTATCACTTTTCAGTGTCTCCATCTGTTGAGTATGTTACTAGAATTGACTTGTTGACGCCCTGAAACTCATGTTTACAAAAATCCTCTCTATCACTTTTCATAACTGCAAGTTGGCCTAAAAATGCTTCATTGGAGTCAGAGGTGAAGCAACATGAAGATCCTCTTTCGCAGTCTGGTTTTACAGACATTTATTGTGGTTTATTTGTTGTGGGATATAGTGAATGCTTTTTATTAGTATTTTTTACCCGTTTGATTACAGTATAGTTGGTTATTTCGCTTAGCACCTGTTGTGCACTGATTAGATTTCTTCATTTCAGACACTATCATGCTCCCCTGTAGTTGGAACCCAAATTGTAGATAACGAAAATATATATTTGAAATGTTTGGTATGGCATGCGCAAGAATTCCAACTCACACATTATGACCTTTTCTAGTGAATGCTTTATAAACATTTATACATGATAAAATACAGTGTTGTACTCAACTGCTTCTTAATGACAAAAATGAATGATTGGTCATGGTATGATAATTAAAACTAGTCCAGTTGATGTGCTAGCTAAGAATAGTCCCATTTGGAGCAAACAGAAGTCAATAAGCAAATTTGAACTTACTATCGTTTAATTTAGTGATAAGTGCATATTAATGTACAAGAGAACCATAAATGTATCCAAACATCATGATTGTACTCTTCGTAGAATTTCTATGAAATAAAAGATACTGATAGTATGGATTGCAAAATAATTAGGTGTTTTAGGTCAAAGTTTTTTAATCTTAGCTTAGCTGCATTGGCAATCGAATATGCAGGGATTACCTGAGGAAGTGAACCCAAAAATATATGAGTAGATATTTCACTACATACAAATCATGGCCGACCAAAATTGAAGTCATCATTTTTATGTACTGAACAAATTTCGACTACATTTTTGCAACTAGAGGCAGTAGACAGAGGTTAACTTCTAGTAAAGTACTCTCTGTATTTCAGTAGTTATCTAATTGATCTGGAACACCTTTTTCGTAACTATCATTATGCTGTCACATCACTCAGTTGGAACCACATAAGTAATGGTTGATTCTCAGTGAAACATAAGATGCAGTAGGCAGGCCAACTCACAGGCAATATCAACTTGTTGCGCGTATTGCAGTATATTACCCTGGTATGGAACTAAGTTACTTAGTTCACCTGACGCGTTATGACGATACTTTTGCTAAAAGGCCTGGTGACAGGGCCACTAATGGTAAGACCAAAATGCACAGCGTGAAAAGGTGGAGCGTCTTGCAGGTGTTGCTTGACTAAACGTGCAGTCGTCAGTAAATACTTACAATCGAATAATAAATATTTTGGTCCCTTTTCATATTTCTTGTTATTTGTGTGGTTTTATCAATAGGACTAAATTTCATGCTGCTGTAGTGTAATACTTCTATAAGGGGAACGCGAATGTTGGAATGGAAACATTTATTGATGTAACCAATTGTCCCAGTGATAGTTTTATTCTACTTCTTTGTTTAACTGTACTGAAAACAATAATTGCTCGCGTCAAGTCTCGCTGACATTGCTCGGATGCCTCGGTAGTTTCGTCTACGATCTTGATATTTTTTCGATGTCACGAAATCATTGGTTATTTTGTGATAGGTAGTTTCAATACGCTACAGTGCCTTACGTATATGGAACGTTCTAACATAATTAGGGAGCGGAAGAACCATTCCACTGATTAGGAAGTGAAAATGTACAACATGGTGGTACTCCAATGTAACGCACTGGACACAGGTTGGACAACTAAGACTAGCTTCAGGAGAGGTGCTGTTTTATTCCACCTGTGATGAAGGGAATGCCTAACGTACGCAAGGATTTGCATTGATGCTGTCAAAACCAGCACCAATGGCTCTGATAAGATGGGAATCTCATGGATCCAGGATTATCAATGCATTCCTCAAGACAAAGAATGACGGGATAATAATGAAGACGTTAAAGACTAATTTTTAGTAGGGGTCCAGTTGCGGTAGCAAAGGCTGAGAAATGACCTGATCATTTTAATGAGAGCCGAACGCAAAATGTGGTTTGGAAAACACCGAATTTGAATATAAAAGCGACGGAATGGATTAGTAGAAAGGATTAAGACAGGCGAATGATTCACAAATGTATATGCTGTTAACAAAATGGTTATAGGTGACACTATATCCTCTCACAAACGCATACAAAAAGCCAAATGTGTTTCACCGGATCACTTGACAGGAACCGAATCTATCAAGTCTAATTCAATAAAATTTTCGGAAGGACCACATAGAATGTGACAACAAAGACAGAGTTGCTGTAATACCTTCAGTTTATCACGTCATAGTGACTTAGATGAAACTGGAACTGAGGAAAAACTGGGGGAAGAACATCACAAAAATTTAGTAAGGCTGTTATTCGGGATACTGACGAACCCAGTGTGTTCAATATAGCAAGTTGAATTCCATAAAGGTCGATTGTGTATCGACTAAATCACACTTGACACTATGTATCATTATTGATCAATCGACTGGAATTCACCACAGTATATCGACTTCATTAACAACGAGAAAGCATTCGACAGTGCGACACTCTGAAGGCTTCTTCAACACTACGATGTGCAACGCGAAGATAGTTAACATCATACGTAATTTGTATGAGGAACTACACTCTAAAATCATGCTCAAATGATCTAGCACTTTTCTGCCTCACGTAACGACAATTTCATGGGAAGACGACCAGTGTAGTAACACCCTATGAAGGATCAGTTTTCAACATACACAAGGAAAATAAAAGGCCTGTTAGAAACAACACAGCGCCAAGGACAGACTGTTTGGTGGCCTACCGTCTTTAGGTTTATCAAGCGTAAGTATGTTGGTTAGTAAATAAATAGAAAAACTAGCCTCCCTCATATTCATGGTTTTACAAACTATCCCACTTCTAGATATCCATAAGTTCTCGTGAACATATAATTACTTACGCCTGTTGCCTTCAGTGGAGCGTGGCTGCCGACCAGTGTTCTCCAATCTACTCTGTCCCGCGCCTTTCTTTCTAGGTCTGTCTGACTGTTGCTCATTTTTCTCATGTCTGTCTGCATCTATCAGCGTAATATGTTCCTTGGCCTTCTTCTTTTCCTTTTACCCTAAGGGTTTCAAATGACGCCTTGTCTTGTGACGCAGATGGGTGACTTCCCTAATGTTTATTCTATCCCTTTCTAACGCGTCTTCATGAATGCCTCCTTCATTTGAAACAGGTTTCTTTTTTTCACACATTAGGTCGTAGTAGGTGATGTCTGGATGATGGCTTTTGTAGTTTTCGACGTTTCAGCAATTACAGTAGAACTTGTGAGATCCATTTTTGGAGGTAGTGTTTGTGAAGATCCCCCCAGGTATTCATTTGTAAATGTTTCTTATATATTCATTCAATTTCACATTCTGTTAGTCTGTTCGATTTCATTTGAGATGGTTATATTTGTATTTTATTATAGTTTCTATTTTCACCTTCTCTGAGTTTCCATGTTCCTTTTCGAACTGCATTTATGTTGTTTAGGCTGATACTTAGTCTTGGCGGCAGCCATATTCATTTTTTCCTCCTTTGATGATGTTGCTTTCAGTGACTGGAACTACGCATTTTGATTGTGAATTGAAGCACTATTCCAGAAAAGGAAACTTTCTTAAATTATTTACGCCTGTTACCCCCAATGGAGCATAGGCCGCTCACCAGTTTTCTCCAACCAACTCTGTCCTGGGCTTCCCTCTCCAGTTCTGTACAATGTTTGTTCATTCCTCTCATATCTTTCTCTATTTCTCGGCGTAGTGTGTTCCTTGGCCTTCCTCTTTTCCTTTTGCCTTGAGGGTTCCATGTGAGGGCTTGTCTTGTGACGCAGTTAGGTGCTTTTCGTAGTGTGTGTCCTATCCACTTCCACCGCTTCTTCCTGATCTCCTCATCCACTGGATTGTTCTCTGGATTGTTCTCTCCCACAGGTCGTTGTTGCTGATGGTGTCTGGCCAACGAATACGAAGTATTTTGCGTAGACAGCTGTTAATAAACACTTGTATCTTCTGGATGATGGCTTTGGTGGTTCTACAAGTTTCCGCTCCATAAAGTAGAACTGTCTTCACATTTGTATTGAACGATTTGGTTGGTGAATGTTGTGTTGCATCAGAGAATTTCGCTTTTTCCTTTATGAATGTTGTGACCTGCTGCTGCTGCGGATGCTGCTACACTGGTTGTCTTCTCTAGCATTTGTTGTCGCGTTTGAGATAGAAGAGCCAGGTCATCTGCGAAATGCGGATCGTCCAGCTGCATCCTAGCTGTCCATTGGATATCGTGCTTCCCTCCAGATGTCGACTTCTTCATAATCCACTCGATGACCAGGAGAAAGAGGAAGGGTGAGAGTAAGCAACCTTGCCTCACACCGGTCTTCACCTCGAAAGAGTCTGTTAGCTGTCCCTCATGTACGATTTTGCAGTTGAATCCATCATCAGAATTCCGTATGATGTTAACTATCTTCTCAGGCACGCCGCAGTTTCATGGAAACCTCCACAGTGTTGTCTTTTCCACACTATCAAATGCCTTCTCGTAGTCAACGAAGTTAATGTGGAGTGGTGAGTTACACTCAATTGACCGATCCTCAATGATCCGTGATGTACCAGTTTGGTCGGTACACGATCGATCCTTACGAAATCCAGCCTGTTTATCTCGAAGTTGAAACGTC